AATAGCTCACCCCGGGCTCCTGCTCGAACCTTTTAATTAAAAGTAGTTGAGTTACTCGAAGGTCAGGGCGATCGGCGTTTCACTCCCAGCCCTGCGAACGCATCCGTCAAACACACACTGCACTCTGCTCTTAATTGCGTTTTTCTCCTAATTGTACCAAATCCTGAAGTTCACATCCTTGAAAACATTCCCCATCACCCACCGCGCAGGAGAACACCTCAAGCTGCTCCTCCACCCGGACCCCCCAGCTGGAAGCGACCCCCCCACTGCAGCCAGCCAACGACCTGCCCTGGCCCTCGAGGCTGGCACTGCCCTGCAAGCTTCCAAGAAATAGTTTCCTGATTTACACCATGTGAAGGCTCCCCTCATCACCCTGCTGCCCCACTGAAAGTACGTGCTCCGTTATATATTCCCAGGTTTTCCAGCTAATTTGGCCACGTACCTGCTTTAGAATAACAGCGTGCACGCCAGCGAAGTACGCTGCTGCTTCCTGCAGGAGTTGGGCAAAGCATGGACCACTACAGCCCCCCACCTGACAGCCACGTTACACCACTGCTGCACAAATCAAAGCTCCTTCATGCTTCCTCGGTCACGGTTTGGCTTACCGGGCACGCCAGGTTTGTGCCATGAGCAGAGGCAATTTGCAAGAAACCTCCCATACGTGGTCATGAAAGCTAACGGTTAAGAAGCTGGATGGTGACCAGCATCATTCAGTGGAAGAAAAACCCATGAGGGGTTTCCTACTCCCACCTCTCAGGCCAAGCTGCACACAGGGGTAAATCCTGCTGCTCCCCACCGGAGCCCATTGCAGAGCTGCTGGTCCAGCTGGGAGTGGTTTCCCTGGTGGGAGTCGCTGCGGTGACTTTTTCCAATACAGAATAAAAGAGAAAATTAAGTTCAACTTCCTTCTTGCCTGCTCTGCTCAGGAACTCGCCCAGGGCATGCTCTAAGGCTACTGCTCTGCTCTGTGTTCTAAATTTAATACGTTATTGCTCAACGGGCTTCAGGTGAGGACAGGAAGACACAGCCAAGCTCAGTAAAGACACCAGGATGCAGCTCGTTACAGCAAATTGTCATCTGGAAAAAGCTCTTGAAGTAACAAAATCAGCAATTTTTTAGAGAAGTGACAACAAACGTGAGACCACCGAGCTGTGAATGAAGCGAGAAATCTCTCATGTGTTACTGCATTCGACTTCATGGCATTCCTTTTCCTTTTAAAGTCCTTCCATTTGCAATTTTTGGCAAGCTAAGAGCATCATCAACAGGTAAACCTGCAAAACAGGATGCTCAAAATAGAATTTTTACTTCTGTAAAAATCCCCTGAAGGCAAAGACGCAAAGTGTAGGAGACACGGAGCTGTTGGTCCTGGCAACAATCGTTTGGCCCGAGCAAGGGAAGTGGGCACAAGGAGGGAAATCCACATCCCACCTGCCAGATTTCCTACCGAGGGCAGCTCACCGCGGTCCTCAGCCAAACGGGAGGCTGCTGGGATCCAGGGAAGCCCCCGCTGGAAGGCTGGCTGCCGAGGAGCGAAAGGCTTGCTACGCCTGGCCCTCGGCACGTGCCTCCACTCCGCTGCTCTTCCAGACCGAACCCCATTTTGGTGGATTTTTGTCACCTGTTCACATTAACGCTTCTCCCAGCCTTGACCCAGCACGGTGACTCCAAACTCGGATGCTGGGGTGGGTGCATCCATCACGCCCGCCTCCAAGGGGCTGCTGCCGATGGATTCCGTAGCTCGGGCAGCGGTTCCTGCTCCGCGCGGAAGGACCCTGCTCAAGGTCAGCTCTGGAAACGGATCCTCCTGAGCTCACAGCACGGCCGTGCCGAGACGCAGGGCTTGGCTCCGTAATAAAATCCCGCGCTCCTTTGGAACTGCAGAGCAGAATCGCAATAGAGTTTGACCTTCCAAGGAGAACCGAGTAAGCGCTGCCATTACGAGCTACCAGGAAGTCAATCAAGCCACACAAAAACAAACCACAGGCGTTTTTAATTTTACATCCTCCTTTCCACTGCCACAGCACAGACTCCTGAGAGCGTTTTCTTGTGTCACACGCAGCAGCAGCGTCACGGAGAACGCGTCTGGAATGTAGGTGGAAAACTAAAAGGGAAATCATCGCTCCCTTTTCCATGTAGAGGAGTTAGACAAGGAGGGAGGCAAGAGATTTGTTTGATGTGATTTACACCTGTTCCTGTGTGGTGGTAGTTTGGGTTTTTTAATAAGAAAAACACAAACACAAAAGAAAAAAACACAAACACAAAAAGAAAAAAAACACAAACACAAAAAGAAAAAAAACACAAACACAAAAAGAAAAGAAAAGTATAAACAGTAATTGTTTTTCATATAGTCCAAAGCCAAAAATCTTTAATAAAAAAGAAGCGAGGCACTGGAGTTTGCAGGCACAACAATGAAATCTAATCAGCTCCAAACCCGAGTAAGGCTGATTTTTTGTTACGTTGTTCTGTGCCAAAGTTTCGGTGACAATTTCTGTAACAGCTCTCAGCAAACAGCTGTAACACGGCGTTTCACACTTCCGATGTGACCAATTCCATCAAGTCACTACAACATTGCAAAGGTCCAAATTATCCAGTGGTGTTACACGTTATCCTACTCGGAATTTGAGCAGGTGATGGAAGAGGAAGAGGAAGAGCACATTCTCTCCTCGATTCGCTGCGACACCTCGGCCG